CCGAATACGAGGCTGAAGCGTTTGCAGATGGCGGTCTGGACAAACAAGCCATGGCGTGGCAGATTCAAGAATCCCTTGCTTTATTAGATCAAGATAAGCAATCCGTCACTTCTCCTCCCTCGATATGCCAAATCACTGATATGCCTATCGTGACAGCTTATCCCTTACCTGCAGACATCTCGATGTCTACATCCCTGCAAGTCGTCGACTTCTCAGAGCTGCTTGAGACTTGCACCCCTGAAGAGGTTGAGCTCGATGTTTGCAGTATAGGTGAAATATTGCCTGACCGTTTGTCATCTAATTTTCCACTCGCTTCTTTCTCTTCTACATTTATTCCTGATCCACTATCCTCTAATTATCCATCTTCATTTTTTCATAATATTTATTCTTCTTCTCAAATAATTTTTTCTCCATCTCTTTCATCACATGAGCCATCTCATGCATCCTCCTCTAATTTCGATGGATTATCCTCCCTCCCTCGGTTGGATTATCCTTTTTCCGACATTACCACTTCTGAGGCCTCAATTTCTGACAATGTGGATCAGAGAGATCTTTCAGCTCCTATATCCCTAGGTATTCCTTTAACTTCTCAACAGTCTTTTGTATCTTCCGCTATTGTTTCAACCTCTCTCTCTTCATATCCACTTCCTCAGCCTTCTTTCGGTGTTTTCGATTCGCCTTCTATTTCGTCTCCCATCTATCCTATGATTTCCGCCCCATTATCCTCCTATTGTCCTCCTTCCTCTCCTACTTCTTCTTTTCCTTTATCTCCTACCTCTGTTCCTCTTCCTTTACCTCTCCTTATCCCTTCTTCTTCTCCTACTTCTAATTTTACTTCCTCTCTGCCCGTTTCTCAAGACTCTTCATATATTTTTGCTTCTGAAACTCCATCATCTCATTTTCTTCCTGCTTCAGATTCCCCCTCTTTTTCCTCTGAATCTTCTATTCCTCCTGATGATCATATTCTTCATTCTCAAGATCTATCACCGGGACAACCTACACTTATTTCAAACTCGGAAATTGCTTTGATTTCCAATTTACCTTCTCCAATTAAACCTGCACACTCCTTTAACCTTCACACAGCTGAGCAATCTTTGATTGAATCGCCAATTTCGTTAGATTTTGATTTTAATGTTTCTACTCAAGGAGA